CCACCGACCCGCGCTGGGTTTCCATTCAAATAATAATAATAATAATAATAAACAACAACAACAAAAAAAAAACAAACAAAAAAAATCAGCAAAGAGGCAGAGGGGCAGTTTAGGCTTGTAAAAATTGTCACTGCGACTGCAGAACATTCTCATGGAAGAAGCTGAGCCCGTTAACAGCTGGGAGGAGAGCTGAGGGCGCAGAGGGCTGTGGCCCTCGGGGTGACACCATCCTTGGGGACAGCAGCCCTTCGGTCACAATGTCTTTGGCCAGCACTGCAGGGCCAGGGACGGAGCAAGGGCTGCGGGGGCTCCCCAGCAGCGCCGACCCCAGCACTGCTGCTCTACAGCCCCAGTTCTGGCTCACGCTGCCCACGGCAGGAGGAATTTACCCCTCTCTGCTGCTGAAACGCTTATAAAAACTCAGCACAAACCCTTGGCCAGGAGAGCCCCTGTCCTGGGAATCACCACAGCTCCAACAAGCTCCATAGGTGCCAAACCCACCCCCTGATCTTGACACACTCCAACACAGCAGCATAGGAAGGACCCTTTATTTTAATGAAGCCTCTCTTTTTCAGTTTGTGGTTTACGATCAAAGGGGGCAGTTCCAGTGGCTCTGGGTTGCACCCAGGGAGGTCACCGAGGCACCTGGCACTGCAGGGAGCAGCAGGGCCCTCCTGCTACACAACACGGCACAGCCGGGACGGCTTCCAAGCACTCAGGGGATCTGTCACCCTGAGAACATCTACACTGCTCCCACACAAGGAATCTTTCCAGCAGATTAGGCTTACCCAGCTCCTAATCACCACTATCCTGCAGAGAAATAATTTAAAAATCTTAACTTCTCCTTCCTGCAGAGAAAAGGTCCTTACAGGAACCAACGACACCATCCCTTAACCTTTGCGTAACAACAGAGAGATTCCCTGCTCAGCATCTTGGATCCCAAAGCTGAGAAGGGCAAAGGTGCGCGTGTGGAAGAAGTTTCTAGATCCTTCCATTCCACACTGGGGTGAGCTTCATACTGGTCTCAGCCGCGGTTCCTCCTCCTCCTCATGGTTTGGTGGCTGCTGGGGCATCTCTTCGTCTCTTGTGTCTTGCTTGTCTCGCTCTGCTTGAAGCCAGCTCTGGGGAGCTATCATTTTCTTTGGCCCATAAGGTGGAGGCCCAATCAAAGCTTCAATGTCATCGTAATTTATCACTTCTTTCTCCAGGAGGGCATTAGAGAGCTAGAAAGAGTAAACAAGGCAGCCTGAGGCAGGGCAGCTTGAAAACAGCCTCTCTGAACTGTTCTGAGCTCCTTTCCCTGCCAGCTCAAGGCACATCCCAACATCTGGACACAGCACGTGCTGGAGACGCATGAACAGAGCCCTGGCTACTGCCCCGCGGATGCTGCGACCCCACAGCCTGCTGGAGCCAGTGCCAAGGTCTCCAGGCAGCCGGCACCTTCCGCACGAGCAGTTTGGCCAGGAATACATAGCATGAGTGCAGGGAATAGAGAGCAAGCGCTGAGGAACGATGTGGAGTCAGAACTGCAGGGACAGTTAGAGCAGCCCTTCCTGCCACCGTCACTGCCCCTGTGCAAGATGCCAGGTAAGAGTGGCTGAGACCAGAGGCAGAGCTGCCCTGGACACAGTAACGCAGCACCAAGAGGCAGCGGAGCTGCCTGCTCCTGCAGGCACGGGCTGAAGGTCGTTGGAAGGTGCTCGCCAGGAAAGAGGAGCCTCTGGCCCCTCTGCCAACAGAAGGGCCACGTTTGAGCAGCAGGTGGCTGTCAAAGCCATGGAACTGCTCAACTCTGCTGACAAGATGCGACATGCTGATCTGGCAACCGAAACGTTCACTCTGTGGGTACTTTGGCTTGACTTGAAAGTTTTTCCATCGTGAGCCTCTAGCAAATGTCCGGCTGCTGCTAAATGGAAGCATCGGAACAGGGGAAGGCCTGGAGAGAGGAGGTCTCGTCACAACGAGCCTCGAGCACTCCCACAGCGCTGTCCTGCTGCGACGCGGGCAACAGCAGGCGCCTGAGCAAGCTCGTCCTGCCCGTTTTACTAAGCACGCAAGGATGCTCTGCAGTTGGGTGGATGCAGGGGCTTTGTTTTGTGTGCACACGTGTGTACACGCATGTGGTGTTTTTATTTGCAGAATTTACGTTGGCTCCTCATCAGTTCGGGCGCTACAGACCAGACTCCTGAGGGGAAAGTCCAGCGTCTACACAGGGAGCTGCAACCCAGGAGCAGCCCTGCCTGGGGGACAGGCACAGACCTCCGTGGCACAGGGTGGGGACATGCCAGGGGGATCGGCTAGGGGGCACTCGGCACAAAATGAAGGAGCAAAACTCTAGTCTTGCAACGGTGACTCCTCCGCGTATCAGGTGCCAAGGAGCTGGCAGGGGAGAACTGCCTGGAATCACTTGAGGGCCTGGGCCAGATCAGTCAACTGAGATAACAAATTCTGCATTTTTTCCACCATCCCCAGAAACCATGCGCCTGATTCCTCCTCACCTACAGAACCTGGCAGGATGAGCTGCTCCTGCCTTTGCAGGCTCCACAGGAATGGTCACTATCTGCTTTCCAGGAAATTACACTGCCAAGAGGCTAGCCAAGGAGGGCAGATGAGGGAAACAAGTTCTAGTTTTCAACCAAGCTCCTGGACAGAGCATTCCTCCTCCTCCTCCTCTATCCTGCAAATACCAGCTGGTGCCAGGAGTCAGGCTACCCACTGCTGGAGAAAGCACCTACCCGCCCTGTGCATCCTCCTAATCTGGGGGGTCTAGAGCAAACAGCACCCCCTGCCCCACAGCAGGCAGGGGAGGCCCAGCACCCCACTGCAAGACTTCCCAGCACGACGGGGAGACACAAAACAGCAGGGCCAGGAACCCCAGGAAGGCGCTTACCGCCTGCAGCTTGTCCCGGTTGTCCAACAACAGCTTCTCCGTGCGTCTGTAAGCCTGAGCCACCAGCACCTTTGCCTCCTAGGAAGAGAGAGGAACACGAAGAGAGGTTTGGAACACAGGCAGCAGCAAGAATAGGTTGGGGAGAGACAGTGGGAGCACCAAGGAAGGGTTTGAGCGAGCCTACCTGCTGATAGAAAAGAGCTCCCGATCATAGAAAATACATATAAACTTCCTGAAAAAAAGAACCCGAGAATATTTATGCTAAGCAACAGCAAACTCTTCCACTGGCACAACTCCCTAGGAGAATCCCAGCTGAGGGAAAGGCAGTCTAGCTCAGGGGGCTGCCCCTAGCAAAGGAGGTAGCTCAGCACACACCCTGGGGAAGCACAACCATAAGGGCTTCCCAAACAGCCTTGCAGTTTCCTGCTATTTGACTCTCCTGCTAAGGCAGGCCTTTTTGTTTGTTTTGTTTTCTTCTTCTTCAATCAAGAAAGGCTCAATTTGCTGTGAAAACGCTGCTATTTCGATCAATCATTGGTTAGAAAGCCTCTCTGACCTAGAGCTGGAAGATATTTAAATTGCACAACTGAGATTTTAAGCCACATGTTTTTTGTGGTCTAAACATCGCATGGGCCTGCTTAGCTCTACATGGGACAGCTCGGGGCCTGGAAAGACCTTTGCACAGCCCAAGCCTTCCCCAGCCTGGTACTTGTCCTCAGTTCTACAACTACACTACGGTCTTCCAAAGCCTGCTTTTTCTCCCCCCTGCAAAGCCTTTCTCCCCTCCAAAGGTCACGTTTGCACCTCCTCCTGCCTCCCAGCTCAGCAGGGCCTTGTCCGTACTGGAATCACCACCACAGCTTTCAGTTTTACACATTACAGGATATTTTATAGCTGCTTAGTGCAGCTCCAGGCAGCACATTGCTACCGTGCTGAACTCGCAGCCATCTATGATCCTGCCTGCTCTTAACGCCTCACTGAATAGTCCTGACACAGTGTAATAGAAACAGAGCAGGGCTCAGTTGCAGGAATCCACTTCTTAATTGCTAGAACAAATCCAGAGCATTTGGATGCAAAATACTTGCATTTTTCAAATGAACTGTCAAAATTGAAGAACAAATAGGAACACACAGCCAGGGGGGCCTTACATGGTCCATCATCTGCTGAAGTCCCTGGCTGAAAGGGCGCCGACCAATTCCGGCTGCGCTCTCCGCGTCCGGGAAGGAGAGCTGCCCGATGCTGGGCACCATCCCGTACTGCTTCACCATGGAGTAGGCGATCTGGGTCACCTTCTTCAGGTCATCCTGTGCTCCTGGTGAGAGGGGAAGGCGCAATGCTGAGCTGAGTACAAGAGGAGCACACGTCCCGTGCAAAAAAGGACTCCTCTAGTCGAGAGAGGGGCTGCAGGGGCCATGGAAGTGAATACCCCGCATTCCGCAGTGGATTATGCGGAATGAAACCTTACTGGGTGTGCTGGAGAGCTCTCCAGGACACTGAGTGAATACACTGCCCTGCTGTGAGCCGTTTGGGTGTAACTAGCTGGAATTGAGGCAGAGCGCTCCACGCTCCCCCATGAGCTACAAATCCCATCAGGGACTCTATCCACAGCCTTAGGCTTTGGGACAAATGGAAGACAGTGCAGTAGCAAGTGCAAGGTGAGACCTTCGTGGTCACAAAGGCAGGCCCAAGATCAAAGCAAGCAAAGTGACATTTCTCCCTGCTCAAGGCAGGAAACCTCTGTGTGCTGCTCAGATTATTCTGAGATAAAGGGCAGAAATTCAGGCCCTCTTAGCACTATCTTCACCTGCCCATGGTCTAGCTGCTCACCTGTAGTGACCTTGTTAAAGGTGATGGCCTCGGACACTCTGCCCCCGAGAGCCATACACATCCTCTCCAGCAGCTGCTCCTTGGTGAAGAGGTACTGCTCTCTTGGCAGGATCTGAGCAAATCCCAGAGCTGCATTTGTTCGAGGGGCTATGGAAACCTGCAACACAGAGCAGCTCCATCAGTGCAGGGAATGAAAGAGCTCCCAAAGACTGGTGCAGACGGAAGAGCAGGAAGAGGCCTGCACTCCCAGTGAGGTTTGTCAAGGCCTCATGTGGTTTGTTGATCTACAGAGACAGGGCCATGAACTGCAGGACGTCAGTGTTCCCGTACTGAAAAATCTGCCTTCACAGGGGCAGACACTTTTTGCTATTGCAGAGCAAGAAATAACAGAACCAGGTTGCCCTTAACAGCAAACCAGTGAAATGTAGAGATTTTAAGAGTGGTTTTGCAGAGTATACACCAAACTGAATTTGCTTTATTGTGTTCCAGAGTCACTCAGTCTACCTGGAAAACCATGGGATTATCTTTAGAAAATAAAAATCACCTCTCCTATCTTTTAAAATGCCACATCTTGCTGAGAGTAATTAACAACCTATACAATAGGTCATTCACAGTGAATTTGCAGCTGGTGACATGCCAAGGAGCTGTCACTCCCACCCCTCCCCAGTTTCCAGGCTCTTTGAAGGAGGAGATGTGCATGGGAGAGAACACTCTGGGGTCCTGGAGGACTTCTCCTACAAAGGGAGGAAAGAGCTCCCTTTCCTCCTTTCCTCTGTAGGAAGGGGAGCTTTAGGCAGGCAAGTTCTCAAGTCTGCTGATACAGGAGGGGGGTGTGTGGAAATTCGCTCCTGATCAGCCTCAGAGCAGCTCTCAGAATTGCCTGACTGATCTATTGGCACCAACACGTTGGCATCTCGTGGCAGAAAGAGATCATGTACACACGCATGCACACACAGAACAGTGCTTTGTCTGGAAGGGATGCACGAGTTGAGCAGCAGCACTGGGAGACTCAGTTGCTCCAAACACACTCAACAACAGGGTGGTCAGCAGATTGTTGGAGTGCTCCACAGCTGGCTTTTAAATGCAAGACTACTCCAGCAGCCGGCTACCAACTTTGCAGCACAAAGTGCAATCAGTCACTGTCATCAGGGAGTCCAGTCATAGACTTCC